GTGTGTGTGTGTGTGTGTGTGTGTGTGTGTGTGTGTGTGTGTGTGTGTGTGAGTGATAGAGTTAGGGGGTGGTGTTGCTGCTTGTCGACAACTAAAATGCTGATGCAGCTCCACTGATTACTCCTTGTCCCGTAATGATTTCCAAACGAGGCGGCCATCAATAACACAAATCTGCATTTCTCAGAAAAACATCACCCTCGTCGGGCTGCTGGCATCTTTTTGATCTCTCCCCGTTTTTTAATTGTATTCAGCATAAAGGTAGTGGGGAGGCGTCGGGGTGCGTGGCTTTAATGGGATGCTGCTGTGGAGGTAGGGAGTGGGTTACACTCTCTCCGAGAGCGCGGCTGTAATTAAGAAAGGGAACAAAGCATAGGAGACTAAAAACACATGAAAGAGAGGAAGCGGAAAACCTAATCACTGTACGTGCGTCGTTTGCGCTGACGCCGCCGCGCACACGCACAGGAAGAATCGCACATGAGCGCAAACGAGCACACCTGAGCCTCTCACACATTACCCTCATCTACACACAGTCTGTGAGGGAGTGCTGTTCTTTCTGGGAGCTCTGTACGCTTCAGATTGGATCAGATTGACTCCCATCAAAATAAAAGCCATCTCATACCCTCAGCCAGCTGAGGGCCGCTAAACCTCAGGGGCCACTAAACAAAAACAAAAAAAGAAATGAGTTAATAAATACAAAGTTTCTTTTGATGTATTCTCACCCTCAAATTTCATTTATTTATAGTCCTGTAAAAATACTGTACCAAGCTCCATGTATTAAGGTATTTAGGAATAAGACTGGGAGTAAATAGTTGCACACACTCAAAGACCCTGATGCAGATGGAAGTGGATGTTCTAAACTTCAACGTAGTCAAATCATTTCTAAGTTGGGTGAACTGCTGGGCCCACTATACTCACCAGTTTTGCTGTTGTGAACGGTGCTGCACACCCAAAGAAACACATTTGTGTGGTTTTGCCTGGGTGTGCTCCTATTAATATTTGCAACCTTGTGTGGGTGTTTACAACGGAGTTCATTTTAATGATATACGAGTAAAGAAGCTTACTGATAAGCTTATACTGTACAGAGGGAGACGTTGCAACAGTGTGAAAAGAATGAAAAATTCAGCAAAAACAAACAAACTCCAAAAAAAACAAAAAAAACCCAACTATGCAATTTCTTTGCTTCCAAATTTGACTTCTGCTCGTTTACCAGCACTGATGAGGAGGGTTTATCTGAGCGGTGACACCTATCATTCAGGAGAATACTGCAGCGAGTAGCTGGTATAAATAGGACAGAGCTGTGGCAATGCCACTGTGTAAGTGCTGTGTGGCTATAGTGGGCCCTGTAGAACCTCCTCTTTCCTGTTATGAAATAGGACCTGAAGCCCCAAAGCTCAGTAGAAATACTGAACTAGTAAAATCTCATAGATAATTCAGTAGATTCAACAAAACAGACAGCTTCCATTATGTTTTTGATTGGGACAATAAAATGTATTTTTTAGCAGTTGGTCGGCTTCTGTTTAATGAGACTGGCAGTTTGAGTCCATGCACCAAATAAGCCACATTTCTAACAGCAGCCAGCTGATGGTAGTTTCGCCGGCACCAGCACATGTAGGGAATTGTTTTGGTTTCTGAATTCTTCTTATTTCTCTTTTGGGTTTTTTCACTATCAACACGCCACCAGCATAGAAAGAAAAATGACAAAACCTTACAAACCATAGAGTTTTATTCTTTTCAGTTATCACGTGTAATTGATATTAACTTTGCCACAACCCAAAGTTCAGGTTTTCTCTACACTGTAAAATCGAATTAGTTCACACAACTGAAAAAAAAAAACTATGTAAACTCGCTGC